CGTAATGTCGCGAGCTACAGGTTCTTGCCTGTCTCGATAAATAACCATTCCAGATGTGCAGGAAAAAAAACTGAGATTTGAAAATAAATAATAATGACACACAGCAAAATAAGTAACTATGAACAGGTCAAGAAAAAACACAGGTATTATACAAATCCTCCTTAAAACGTTGAGCGCCACGTCAGCCATCTGTGGCTGATACTATACTTTCCGTTTAGGCCGCGTCGACCGCTCCTGGCTGACAGCGTGTAACATGATATATAACTATAAAATTTACACTGTTTTATGGAATTACAGAATATTTATTTAAAATTTACTTAATTTTGATTCATTACAGGACTAATGGATTTCATTGAAACACGGTAAACATAAAAGCGGTTCTTTATTACAGCTATTACAAAATGTGACAAATCTCTTAGTCTTTTTTCTGGACATTACTCTACCAGCTTCTGTTGCATTTTTATCATAACATAATTTACAATATTTCCGTACTTTAGAGGCTCATCTCGGTTTTCTTTGGAGTTTATGTAGTCGTTTTTTAGATATTCTTGCATTTCTGTTTGATGAAATGTCTACTTTTTCACAACTCACAAGGGATAGCGCTAATTCTTTCCGGAATTCAGTAATGCTAATTTTCTGCTTCGTAATATCTTTGTATAGAATGTAACTATTTACAAAACAGAGTAACGTGTTGAATGAATGCCTATAGGAATCACATTCCAAATGTAAACTAACTTCTACTGCGATAAGAATCACTGGCCCTACAATACCAGCGCTTTTAAACGGCGCGCGTGGCCTGAACGGGATTGCCTAAGAAATATGAGTGGCGCTCAACGTGTTAACGCAACTAGTTTCATCATAAATTCCCGATATCACGCGCAAAATAAACTCAACAACGTAACTCTGCAAACTCTCAGAACTTATTGACAACTGATTCATCTTAGCTCTTCGAGACGCAGGTGACAGGTGACGGAGGACGGGGACGCCTGGCGTATAACATAGTTAAACAGGCATATGTCCCACGTCCTCCACTATCTCGAAGAAACAACTCGCTGGAGCCCCGTGAGGTTGCACCGGGAGTTTACGTGGCCATACAGGGGCTAGATGTCAAGTAGATTTTACATAGGACGTTGTTTATAAAACAAGGCGTTGCACGGGTTTTGAAAGCCTCTCGAAAATTAGGTCCTAAGGCTTCAAAAATGTGTTTTCTCATGTATTCGATGGCCCACCAGCGGCCGAGCGGTAAAGTCGCTGAATACTGGTAGCTCGGTCCGAGGTTCGAATGTCACGAACGGGCTGGCAGCATGGGAGTTTTCGTGGTTTTCACCATGTGTAACATGTATACGAGCCAGTTTCCCTTAGAAAGTCCTCCACGAAGGCATTTCTCCTCTTAGGCAGATAGCCCTCGAGGCTTTGCCATTATCACACACGCACACATATATTCGAGAAAATTGCCAAGTTGGAGCTAAATTGCCAAATACCGAGAACTTAGCGATAAATTTGTTGCTTAAGTCCATTATGAGCGTCTTTGTCCATATCTGAAATTCTAGTTTAACTATTTTTACAGCTTAAACACTGTCGGAAGCAAAATTAAAACATCTACAGCTTTATGTAAGAAATAAACGCTTATGTATGAAAGATGTGGCTACACATTCAATCAAGTACAAACTAAGCCCTAAAATTCTCGTACTAAAAGCAACAAATAATTAAATAAAACAAATACGTAGTATTAAAATGATAATCAGTAATGCGATTAAATAAGTTTAAATATTTACAGAAATCTACAATAATAAATAATAGCACAAAAAACCATTTTATAAGAAATGATGAAAACCAAAATTCTATATGGCTTATATTTACTTTTTATAGTCATTACTGTTTATACTCTTCAGCTAAATGACATATTAATGGGTAATTCCACGTGTATTCAAACACGTGTGAGGGTACACGCATTCTTGTGTTGTCTATTGTTCCAAAATAGTCGAACCAAAATTCAATTCCAACTCCAAAATAATCACAAACACAGCATTAACATTTACCGTATGTTAAAAGTGAGCTATAAATAACAGTAAAGTATTGAAAATTATGTTGACTGCTATACTTATAGTGGCTTTAAGCATAATAACTAGTAGAATGTACGTATAGTACATATCTCACCCAGTAGCCAGTACTTAGCCTATACTTACAGTTCACATATTTTATTATTTAGTCTGAATCCAATTTAGTGTTTCATCATTCTTAAATCTATGTAACATTTTGAAAATTTAGCTGAAATTAATGCAATATACAAATGTAAAGCAAACTAATGGAAAGAATAAACTGCTAAATCTTTAACTGAAGTAAACTGGAAACTGGCTTCAGTAAGCAGAAACTGGCAACAATTCGTAGCAGAATAAATAAATCAAAATTTTGTTCGTAATGTAAAGTATTTCTTTCCAGTCCACGGTCAAAATATTTTCCTTTTCCAAGAAACATGAAAGAAGTGGATACTGGACGTTTTTTCAAGATGTAAAAGTTTCCATGATAACTCAATGATATTTCAGCGCTGAGGACAACAACGTAAATGTTTGATTTCATCGATGTGTATGTGCCATTGAATATATAAGCAGCAACAAGCTTATGAAATGGAATTTATCAAAATAGGCAGAATTTAAGATATTAAAATAAGTTGCTCGCAATCTATATATAATTAAAAATAACAACAGAAAATATAAATTCAGTGTATATACTTCGGATTAATTTGCCAAGAAAAATATTTTTAACTTAAACAGATTGAATGCACTGACAAGAAGGTTTCTTCAGGGAGAAAAAGTCTAAAAACAGATTATTGATAGAAATATTTGGTTTTGGCAAATAATTTTATGTGAGGAAAAACTTTCAATACATTTTTGAGGATATAAGTTTTAATTACAATTAGCTGTTTAAGAATCATTTAGTGTATAAAGAGAGTGACTCCTAACAAGCAGTAAAATTTAAGCAACTGAATGGCAGTAATAATTTGAAGTAAAGTAATAAATTAAAATAAACCTCATTAACTTGAAATAAACATCAATTAAATAACCTTTCATTACAGATGCGATTTCTTTTGCTGAGTTTCAGATTTACGAAGACCTAAATAATTTCATTTTGGCAAATCCATGTTTCATTTAATATATTTAACTTTCAATTGTATAAAAGTTTATTTTACTGTTTACATGTTGATCATAAAATAGTTAATTTTTAAGCTTTAGAGAATAAAGTATATTGAATAGTAAAGTAATGTGCACAAAAAGGAACCAAATTTCATGATCTGATAAAAATGTCATAGAATTTAGACTTTTAATGATATGTCTTAAGTTCTAGGCATGTATTATTTCGAGAAATTTAAAAATTAGCTGTTTAAGAATCCAAAAAGATCCAAAAAGTACACTTAATACATACTTTATTTATATAGAGGATTTTCTTCTTCCACCTCCTTCGAAAGTATCTTTCTTATACTTTTTTTAATCAGTAAATTCTAACGTTTTATGCCGCAGAGTTTTTATGACTTAACATAAAGTCTCTTGATCAGTTCTAAAATAAAAGCCTGAATTTATTTCAGTTTTCGTAGAATTTTTTCTGTAAATAAAATATTGATTTCTCCTTATAAGTAAGTTGAAACGAAAAAAAAATAAAAGTTTTTTTGCTTATCTTTAGAAATTTTGGAACATTAGATCAAACTTAACTGAGATATATATATTTTTTACTTAAACTTTCAGTTCGCAAACTCGACGAAGTTTAGCAGTTTAATTCTCTAAGTCTTTCTTCTAGCTATATAAACAAATAAATTTTCTTGTTTTTAACTCTACAAATTTATCCTTTACATGCACCCTATAAGGTCTCTTTTGAATTTTCTAATCAGTTATTTTAAGTTAGTTTAATTTCCTCTAAAACTTCGTTTCATTTCCCTACCAGAATATAAATTCTCAGCGTGCGTAATATTCAAATTAGGTAGAAAGAAAGAAATACTCATAGGAAAGTTTTAGAGGATGAAATCAGAGCATGTTTTGCTAGCTTGAAGGCCACGTTCCTATCTTTAATTCTCACGATTAAAATTCCGCAGCGTTGAGTTATTCTTGCCATTAAGCTTGTTTACGCCTACTTACTAAACTGGTCAGAGCCAGTTTGAGCTCTAGTTAAACCCTGAAGCTGTTCGGCTATACCTACGTTTCATTAGTTTTAGCTTGTCCATCATCTTTTATTTAAAGCCAAAAGTGTTGGCCTTTGTACGCCCGAGTTTGTGCCATCTGTAAACTTTATATCGATGAATAAAAGAGTCCTTTACACCCTTTTCTTGTCTCTGTGGTACTTATAAAGACATCGTGAAAAGTCACCAGCTATCTCTTAGAGTTCTAGTCTAACTGCAGTTCACCTAAGAAGGCCACATCTTATAATCCTTTTAACAGTTCTTGTTGCAAATTGACCAAACGTTAGTGCTTAGAGGATGATTATCAAACGCCTGTGTACGGCTCAATTACCAAAAAAATTATTCAATGTTAAAAATTGTTCTTTCAACCAAGAATACGAATGAGTTTCTATGTCCATTCATAAATATCTGAACCATTTCATGAAAATATTAAACTATGTTCCTTTACAATAATGCAATCTGTTATTAAAACCATTTTCTTCTTTCCTTTCCTCCATTGGCACAATTGTGTAATTATTTTTAACTCAGAGCACTCTTTCATTGATTTAAAAAGTTATTTAAGCCAATTGTGCATCCTTTTGTGGTGAAATTATGCAAAGTCAAAATTTATAATTAAAATTCTTTAATTACCTTTTTTATACATATTTATATATTGTTCATACATTGTTTCATCAAACAGGCGCGGGTCGTAATTTCGTATCATATTTTGTAAAATTTCTACTGACATTATAATTTTTATCATGTAACAAGTTTATCTTGATTTGTAGAATCTTTTTAAATACCTTTAAGCAAAATTAATGGAAGGGATAATTTCCTTTTTTTTTTTTTTTTTCAGATTTCGAGGCTACTTCCAAGGAGTCATGTGTCTTCATGGTCGATCCTTGAAGCCGGTGGAAACAGCAATTCAGACACCTAGGTCTGTACCTTTAATGGCAAGGACATCTGTTATGACTTCTAACAGAACTCGCTCCTATAAACTGAGCATGCAAGGTTGTCGAAAACGGTCTCAGCCAATAAACTCTGCTTTGTAAGAAAAATAATCGAGCTTGCATTTGTATTTATTCATTACACCCAAAGAAAGAAATGACTTGTCAAGAAGAATTTCTCTTAATAAATGGAATTTTAATGTGATTGAAAGTTTGTTGTGGACACGTAAACTCGTGTAATATTTTGCTTATCTATATTTCTATTATGATACTTCAAAAATCTGTACTTCTTACTATCTACACTTCCTCTTTGTAAACAAACCCCTTTAGAACAAGTAACTTGAACTATCCTATTCTACCTTCAATCACTGGAATGAATTTTTTAAAATTCTTATATGTAATATTTTAATACAACTTTTTTCTAGAGTATTGACAAATGTATATGTTTATTGCATGATAATGATTTAAAAAGTATATGTTTATGTGGCATAATAAAATGTATACTGCGTAACTTATAGTACGTATGTTTTTACCATTTTTTAAATACAGCACACTAACAATTCCAGATTTCTGATATTACATGTTTCATTTCCCGCGGAAAAAAATCAGCATTTAAATTGTGTTCCAACCTTTTAATTTCATGTTAGTTCATCGCCTAAAATAATTATCCATTAATGGAACCGTTCGAAGCAGTTTCCAGCAAACCAAACTATTTTATAGTTCGAATTAAAAAATCTAAGAAAACTGAGGTAACTTACTACAAAATTATCTAATTTTATGTAGGTTAATATTTTAATTTACTTTTAGTTTTAATAATGAAAAATTATTATTGAGTAATAAATTCCGGGATGTTATATTAAACAAATGTTAGGAACTATAAATATTTGCAGTATATTTCAACTGATACCGTATTCTCAATAGAAAAGCAATTCTTTTTCTATTAAAAAGGGAAATATCAGAACGGGAAATATATTAGAACTTTCGGAGAGAAAGATCCTAAGAAATTGCCTTTGAGGAACTGAAACGATGTGTTGACACTCATCTCACAAAAGTACTATTTGAAAAGAACGTCCTAATTCCTGAAATTCCGCTTTTCATCTAAAGGTGGTGGAATGTTGACCAATCGAAACCTGGTGGTATATTATCTTTCACCATGTCTATTTTGAAAACTATTGGGACCTTGAGAGTTTAAACAAACTAAATAATACTTGAAATTTCCACTATGCTTTTGCCGAGCATTCAAAGTCTGGTCTTCATATTTCGACACTCGAAAGCTAACCACTACGCCACAAAGGATATGACAGAAACGTCCTTATTTTCATACATATCATACAAAAAAATTAACTTTGAGACTGCATCGCAAAAACATTTTTACAATAGAGTTTCTTTATTGTGCTAATACTTTTAATGATAATAAGCTAAAACTGTTTGTACAGCTGAGGTGCACTTTTTATGCTTAAAACGTTATTAAAATTAAGCAACTATGTATACTTTAAGAATAAAGCAAAAGCTTCTACGTTTCATTTTTAAAAATGTTACTTATCATTTAATTAAAATATGAAAAAATTAAATATTAAATTAAGAAGAAAAGTAGCTGATCTGGAGTAAAATGATCATGTAGACATTAAATAATAACGTTAGTTCCGAATTAACTGAGATTGTTGTATGTTTAACTTGTATTTTCAGTTAATAAATTTGACTAAATTTAACAATTTAATTTTCTGATTCTTTTTTCTAGATATATAAAAAATTAATTTTCTTGTTTTTAGTTAAAAAAATTTACAGTTTCCATGTACCCTATAAAGTCTCATTTTAATTTCCTAACCAGTTATTTTAATTTACTTTCCTATCAAGCCTCGTTTCATTTCCCTGCCAGAATATAAATTTTCAGCGTGCTCAATATTCAAATTAGATGGAAAGAAGGAAGTACTTATAGGAAGGTTTTGGAGGGCGAAATCAGAGCATGTTCTTCCTGATTGAAGGCTACGTTGTTAAATTTGATTCTTTCGACTAGAATTCTGCGGCGTTAAGTTACTCTTGCCATTAAGCTTGTTTATACCGAGTTTGGTCAGAGCCAGCTTGTGCGCTAGACTGTGAGGCCGTTAAGCTATACTTAAATTTCATTAATTTTACTTTAGCCATTATCTTTGATGCGCGAAAGATTTGGCTGCTGTAAGCATGAGTTAGTGCCATCTGTTAAACTTTATTTGGTTTAATAAAAGTGTCCTGCACAGCCTGCAGAGTCCGCTACAGTTTATTTCAAAACATGCACATGGACTTGGCTCACTAAGCAAAGGATGCTGTATCGCAGTGACTTTACAGCGGAGACAAAAGCAACGCATATATTCAAAGCATAAATGCAATTAAAAACTGGCTAATGACTAATAAAATCTATGTCACCAGTGTAAAAAATTATATTGGAAGCATATTATGATACATACACAGCTAAAACGTCCTAAGTCTCTCTTAACTAAGGCAGATAGCCTTCGCTTTTTTTTTTTTTTTTTTTTTCCTTTAATCAGTTAACCTAACCTATAACTTATGAGATATTATAACACAGATTTTGGATCTACATTTTAATGAAAATTTTGTTTCTGCAACTTTATTTACAGAACTAAAATATTGACTTTCAGTATCATGTAGAGCATCATTTAGGTCAGGTATTATGACAGGACTACGGTAGGATTAGAAATTATAAATGTTATGCAGGTCGGACATTTAGAATTTATTTATATAAAAATATAAAAAATGAATACATCTTAATTAGGTTTAATTTAATCTAATACTTCATAAAAACCCACATTCCACATTATAAAATCTATAAAAATATAAAATACAAATTAAGAAAGTATTCTTAAATTAACAAAAACTATTCCTACTTCAAAGATTACGACGTCATGGTTGACACAAGATTGTCAATATTCAGGGATATTGCGGACATTGAAACCAGCAACATGTTTTCGAGCTGCGCATCAGCAATCAGCTTCTTTGTCCTGTATTTCGTGAACTCCCGCCTTAAAAAACTTGTTCATGTGTATAGGTCTTCCAAATAGCGTCATTTGTTTATTGCGCCAAAGCTGCCAGCTTTGGCGCAAACCTCGCGGGTTACAGCCGAAAACATCGCGGACGGAAACGTCACGGAGGAAACAACGCAAGGAGAAAACGTCGTAGTGCAAAACATCGTGGGAGAAAACATCGCAGTCCTAAAATATCGTAGTACAAAAAATCGTTTTCGAAAATAAAGCAGTTCAAAAACTTCGCAGTTTAAAAACATCGTCGCCAAAAATATCGTGGTAAAAAAAAAGTACCTACAAATCATCACATACATGAGTTTTTCAGATCGCATATGTAACTTACTTTCTTCATAACTAACAAATCGACATCCAAAACAATTAGTAATTTTCATTAAAACAATATCAAATTAACAAGTTTGAAAGAAAATAATTTGATCATGAACTAGGCAATTTTTATAGAGGAAACCTCATGCAGTTTTTTATCTTCCTCTTTCTAAGTATTTTTAGACTGTATTTTTTCATAAAAAGTTATCACTTTATAAAAAGGCTTAATTTATTAAAAAGCTTAATTTATTTAATTTATTAATTTATTTAATTTATTTTAATTAATTATTTTTAATTAGGCTTAATTTATTTTAAATTTATATACTTCCTTAATATATAATTTAAAATTATATTAAGCTTCTTAAGTTGCATAATTTTCTACTCATTTTCAATTTCTAAATGCTTAAGTTTTCTTCTTATTTTTTCACCAAAAAATTATTAATTCCTTCATATATATGAAATACAGAAGAAAAGAATCTCTCTTTCCATTTTGCGCTCTATTGTCTTCATACTAACATGCATTTACAACTTTCAAAACCTGAAAACGCACCTGAAACGTCATGCGATGATTTGTAGGTACTTTATTTTTTACAACGATATTTTTGAGTTTCTCAATCAAAAATTCGTTAAAGGTTTACAAAATATGAAATCGATAATAAAACAAATTCCAAATTTCAAATTTGGGTTTCTACATGCCCATATTCGCAATAGAATTACGTCATTCAAAATTCGACGGATCTAGGTACCGTTGTTTTATCACAATGCGAGAAACACATAAATTTATGCAGATTCTTCATTATTTAATTTCTTCAAATATAATACAGGGCGATGATATTTGGGGGCAACAGTTTGAAAAGTTAAACGGACATTCAGAGTGATTCGACGCAAAATCTTAAAACGAAGCAATAGTACCTCAGGGACAAAGCCTCTTTGAACTAAAACTAATATGTTAATTTAAATAAATCTTACAATATATTCTTTGACAATTTGAACAGTATCCGCTGCACTTCTCTGGCGAATATTTGATCTTAATGTAAAAGCAAGAAAGCCAGTTCTCTCTTTAAAATATTATTTACTGCCACATCGAAACATCGACGTATCAAACACAGACTTTATATTATTGTTTCGATCACAGGATTGTTCCTTGTTATGCATCTAAATATTTAAGTTTCTAACATTTTATCATGGAATGATAATCAAATTAATATCTTACAATCGCCACTATTCCTTAACTAAATAACTCTATTTGAAACCTTCCAAATTTCGACTTTATGTTTTCTTAATTTATCTTTTGCGCTGTCCGTCTATTTATATTTTATTATTTGTTTCAGATTTTTTTTTCCTTTCCCAACAGCATAACCGTAAATTTAATCTGTGGGAATTTTACTTCTTGAATTTTACCTTTCCAGTCTCTGACATTCAGTGTTACTAAATGTAACATCAATAATATCTGAAGTGAAGATAAGACATTTTCTCTAACTTTGAGGAGCTGCTTGCAAACTATACTTGAGACAGTCTCGAGAGATTTCTCTTAATTTGAAGAACCTCTCTGGAGGTTATTTAGACATACCATTATGTAAGTTTCGTTACATTATTACAACTAAATTACATAAAGTGCATCTCTTTAGCCATCGGCATCAAATGAAATATTCAACGTCTTTTCCGGTGGGAGATTAGTAGAGTTAACCAGAAAATTGCGCTAAAATCTCAAATTCTAAATTTCCAATGATCAACAATTTATTTTATTGATTTTCCGTCAAGATCCAACTGCTGCTGTAAAGATGAAATGTTTCTTGACCGTTCAAACAGTGTTTCGTAAATAATAAGAAATTTCTTCTTTCAGAGGAACATTTAAATTGAACAATACATTCCCATACATTTCAGAACGGTCCAAAATGCTTCCACAAATTCAAAATATGAACTGCGGACGGAAGTAATTATGGGATAAGTAACTGTGGGATTTAAAGTTGATTTAAACGAGTTATCTTATTATTTTGCTTATACTATTACTTCTAGGACAGTTACTAGAACGCAAATTAGTTAATCTGTATGAGCTCAAATTTCTTTAGTTTTGGAGAGAGCCCTTCACGGCTAATCGTACTCTGTTACATCTCCCAGTTGACTTTAACTTCGCTTGCCACATTTTCTTACCTAATATTTACCG